TGAGGGAAAAATATGAGCCAGCATTGAGCGAGAGTCCAAGCAAAGTTTTGTGGTCGCTCTAAGGAGAAAAGGAATGACAAGAATCCTCTCATTCCTATTACCAAAAAATTCATTGTGCCTGGATCTATTATTTACAATGATTCTTGGGCAGCCTGCAGAGACCTCAGGGAACATTTTTACACACACTATGCTATAAACCATTAACTCTTTCCGGTGCCTCAGTTTTGTTTCGTTTTATCGTGATCTGTCATTTACTTCGGTGCACAAACTGTCTACAACCCTGAGACTGACCCAACATCGTCTCACGCCGTCAAAGCGTTTTCAACACTGCTAGAAGATCTGCCTGGCCGCCCCCATCTGTATGCTGACAGATTTTACACCTCACTGCCTCTCATCAAGTACCTTCGTCCACAAGGAAAAAACTTCACAGGTACGGTGAATTCTAACCGGAGCGGCCTGCCACCACAGCTCAAGGAGTAGCCGACACAGTTCGGAACACCTCGTTGGTTTACCGATGAAACAAAAGAAGTCCTCTGTGTGTCCTGGAAGGACAAAAAATTTTTTAAAACCCTGCATCGTCCTCACCACACATGGCAGCTCTACCTATGAGGAATGACAAGAGGGTGATCGAGCGGTGGGCAAGCCATCTCCCATTCACGCTTACTTACAATATGAGCATGAACGGCTGCGACCGCATGGACCAAATGGTGTCATATTATGCCAATCACTCTAGGAAGACCATCAAGTGGTGGAAGAAAGTTTTCACCTGGATCCTGGAGGTGGCGCAAGTGAATGCGCATTTGCTATACCTCATGTCCCACCCCCACCGCTATGAAAAAAATGACGCTGGCCAATTTCAAGGACTCTATCATCACTGACCTCATCGCCTTGTCCCGCCACAAGCTAAACTGATGTGCCTTCTGCGCTCTCTAGAAAACCAAGCAGGAAAAGCTCTCTGTCGCAGGTTGCCATGCTTGGCAGTGGTGAGAATCACCACCTCATTAACTACGATGGCGCTGTCCGACAATGCGTGTAGTACTCAAAAAACAAAATTCGTAAACACAGCAGTTTTTACTGCACCAGCTGTGTGCATAAGCCCCATCTGTGCCCCCAAGGCTGTTTTAGGGCTTACCACATCAACTTATGTCACAGAAAGTGGGGTGGGGGAGGGGGATGGATACATGTGTGTTCGTGGATTCTTTGGCTTCAGTAATTTCACCCTCAACGGAGCAATGTACCTTGACTTAGTTAAAATGCTAAGATAACTATATAAATGTACAAGTTATTGCTCCAGACGCAAGGATTTTACGAGAAAAGGGATCACGCCCAGGCCAGGTGTGAACTCCTCATCGACGTTTTTGATTTTGGCAAACATCGAACTCACAATAAGAGCCTACCGCCTGAGCTTACAGCCAAGGCATGATTCGTCAGGTAGAGCCAACAAGGCCGCCTCATACCCATGTCCATCAAATTATCAGGGAGGCATGTAGAATAATATTATGTCAACATGATTGCCCATCACCATGAACGGCTGCTGAGTGATCGCTTCATTAATAAGGACAGAGGAACACAACGACACAAGCTAACAGACTGCACTATTCCTGCTTCAATAATAGAAAGTTTTCATCTCATTCGACAAGTCTAAAGGTGCTGTTATCTCTCTTTTTTATATCTGAAATTATTGTGCGCTCCACTTTGTGAAAAACAGGAAACAAAATTATTGTAATCAATAATAGGCCTATTATTATTTATAGACCATGGCTATGAACATTACACTGTGAATCACAGTCAGGAGTTCAAAAATGCAGAGACAGGCGCCCATATAAACCATATTGAGAAAACTGGGAATCAACTCAAAGCTGTAAAAAAACATTCAGGGTATGCAAAAACTTTGATAAGCACGTACTTTAGTAAGTTAATTTTCCGGAGGAAATTCTTGAATGAATCTGAGGACCCTTTTTTGAGTTCATTAAAGACGGCATCACCCCTTCCCTGTTGTGCCGTCGGAATCTGAATCTCAAGCATCCGATTCAATTTATGTGGTTTTGTCTATTGGGAAATCGGATGAGGATGCTCCGGTTTTTTATTTGGGTGTAAATCTCGATGTTGATAGCAGCAGCTAGGACAGCTTAGCACCTTTTTTGGACCAAATATAAATAAGGTAAGTTGTGAGATATTTAATTGAGATTTACGATGGTTTAAAGGTCGGGGTAGTTGCCATTCGAAAAACCTTGAGTAAAATACAAACTATACACATTATTTGATTAAATGAGCTATTATGACTAGGGGAGTATTCGAGTTGTAGTGATTGGTCATACACGCGTATGAATACTTCAATGTTGGAGGATGTAAACAAAGATGGCGAACGCAGGGACATTCGAGTGGATTTTGCAGATTCTTTTGTCGACTTTGGAGGCAGTGAGTGCTTTTATATCGTGTTTAGAACTCAAATTATGTTTTTTGGATGGATATTGTAGAAGACGTTTTAGTTGTTAAGTGGTTAATAGTTTTTCTTTACCATTTTGGGGGGAAATTAACACTTTTGCTGGCGTATTAATATTTTTCCCGATTTTTCTCTATTATTTTACAGTATTGACCCGATCTGCTTGGATTTTACCAAGGCCTATTTTTCGAGTGACAGCACATTTTATCACCAACAATTTTGGGTCTAGAATCCAAGCCACTTTCCAAATTGTTACGGCAATGCACAGGGATTCGAAATGGGGAAATTGACGGGCATGATGAAAAAATATTGAATTATAATGTTTTTTGAGATTCTATTAGAAAAAAAATATATGGGGAACATTCCCAAGCCCAATGGTCTAAAAGCCCCAAAACGTACCAAAAGTACTGTACTAAAAAATGACTTTGAAGTAGGTAGGGGTCTTGACATTTTATAAAACAGAGAGAAATTTGCTCAACTTTGAACCTTAGCAACGAATGTTCAAGCAAGTTGAACGTATTATGTTTGGTATCGTTTGAAAGCTCTCCATTTGAGCTATTCAATCCCGCCACTGCCGGTCGTGACCGCCGATACCGTGGGAGTCCCCTTTGTTAGAAGTGAGTACCCCATTCATAAAAAATTGAAAGCTGATTGGTCGAGACCGCTTGATCACGTGAAAACTTGATTCTCATTGGAAGAGCGCCCGAGAAATGGGGTTACACTATCCCAGAGTGCATCACTACGTAAACAACAATGGCGCGCCTCAAACAGCTTTAGAGCATCGTCCTGCAAGTTGTTTTTCGCCTGTTCACTTTTCCTGACACGAAATATCGCAGGAAAGCAATAAGTATACTTTTGATTTTGATATTTTAGCCTATAGCTGTTGTCTCCTTATGCCTGCACTATCAGACAATTCGCCTTTACAACATTCTGCCACTACTACAACATATTTTATTGTGTATTCTTGTCTTCTGTTTTGTCCGTGTTATGTGTGTCGACAGTATGATAGCCCTGCGTGTGCTTTGTCTTTGTGTTTAGTCTTAGTTCGATTATTTGGAAACAAAATAATTGAATGACATGGCGTTCCAACAATCCGTGTGGTCGGGAATCATACTAGAGAGACAATATGACAGGTTATTGATTGCCTTTTGCCACACTAACCCACACTCGTGGGGTCCAGTCCTGTTTTATTTTCAATGCAATGAAGAAAGCGTGTTGTGTTGTGTTGGATGGAATAGAAAATGAAAGCTACGGACAGCCTATGCATCCCTGCATTAGTAAATGAAGATTCTTGCAATGAAAACATTTCTTCTTACACCTCACAGATGTGTGACAGCAGGGTGTTTGAAGTCAACCGCAGAGCTGTCGCTACAACATTAGCGACTGGCATGGGACTTTGCTGAGATGATTCAATTCTCACATGAAAGTAGTGAGAGAAGTCTCGTGTTTATTCTCAAAACATGCCGGATAAAGCGGTTGAAAAAGTCAAGTGTGCCTATCCAGAGGAGACTGGAGCAGTAAAAAACATTCACGTGTCGTACGATGGTACCTGGCACAAGCGTGGACACACGTCAAAATCTGGAATCGGTTGTGTAATTGAAAGGACAGGTTTGGTGGTGGATTACCAACTTCTAACAACATATTGTGCGACATGTACCATCACAGGTGAGAAGCTGAAGAGGGAGAGCCAGGAGAAGTACGACCGGTGGTTTACCGTTCATAAAGCAAATTGTGATGTGAACTATGTAGGGACAAGTGGGGGCATGGAAAAGGAGGCAGCTTTGATTATGTGGCAAAGGTCAGTTGAGAGGCATGGCTTACGGTATATCTCAATGATCAGCGATGGAGACTGTAAAACAATTTCTGAAATTGAAAAGGTAGATCCTTACCCAGGCTTCACATTTGAAAAACAGGAGTGTATCAACCACGTAGGTAAAAGGATGAGCACAAACCTGCACAACTTGGTGAAGGCAAAATCCAAAGAGAAGCCCAAAGTCACACTAGGGGGCAAAGGGTATGGAAAGATGAAACCCAAGGTCATTGGAAAACTGCAGAAGTTTTATGCCAACGCCATACGTGGCAACAAGACAGTTGCAGATATGCGGCACGCCATCATGGCAACACTGGAGCACTGCCGTTCTACCGACAGCTCTCCGCACCATGACTTATGTCCACAGTGGAATGAGTCGTGGTGCTTCTACCAGAGAGCCATCGCTCAAGGTACTTCGTCACAACCACACAAGGAGGCACTACACACACCCCTTAGCCAGGAAGTAGCAGAGGTCATAAGACCACTGTACGAGAGAATGTCGAGCGACGATCTGCTCTCACGCTGTGTCCTGCAGACGACCCAAAACACAAATGAGAGCGTGCATTCAGTCATCTGGGCACGATGCCCAAAACATATTTTTGCAACACGGCCGCGACTTGAGGTTGCTATTTCTGTTGGGGTGGGAGAATTTAACTTTGGATCTGTTTAGTGCAGAGACTTTATTCGTAGTTTGAAATTGAGTGTGGGCAGCGAGACAAAGCGTTAAGGTTTGAAAAGGGACTGTCGTCAGCTGCAAAGAGCTAAAGATCGGAACTGTTCGAAAGCTAAGAGATGGAGAGAGACGAAAATGTTAGCAAAGCAGAGAGAGGAGGAGAGATTAAAAGTTGTGTATGGTGAGCTCTATACTCCAGAGGGAGGAGATTAGTAGGTGTGGTTCTTTTGAAAATATTTTTTCCCAGTTTTATTTGCATTGTTTTATATGAATATTACATGAAGCGCTTATTGTTGTCATGCTTGGTCCATTTTTTTTTTCTCAATCTGCCATTTTGTCCACATCATGCTATTTGGGAAAGACAATATCTCCTACAGTTATGCACTTATTACTTTAAAATTTTGCATGCTTATTCAATATGGCTATTCATATTTCTGTACCAAAGCTTGTTGATGTATTTTGTTTTCTCTTTGCGTTATGAAAGTTTTCATTTCTGTTTTATTGAGCTCAGGGGAAGGTCATTTTTGCGGTGATAAAAAGTTCGACATTACGCCATGCTCTTCATCAGGACAATTCAAATTTTATTGTATTTAGCAATGACCACGGAAAAACTTTTTTGCCAGAAAGTGTTTGCAAATAGGTGCATTTTGTAGCTTTATCTCCACAGAGCATGGAGCTTTCTGAATTTTTTAAATCCATCAATAAACAAAAAAGTTACGGATTTTTTAATCAATTAATTTTTGGTACACTTTTATATAATGAAAAAACCCCCAAAACATGGGACGTTCTTTGGTGAGTTTTGAGACAATATTCGTCATAACTCGCTCATTTCTTGGAGCATTTAAAAGAAACTTGGCAACCCAGTACATTTACTAGTGCAGATTCTAGTCCTGCTTTCAGATTTTTCATAGCTATCCTATTTTTTTAGTTATGAAGACGTTTATAGGTAAAAATGTAGCGGTTTTCGGTGCGTTTTGAGACAATATTTGTCATAGCTCGCCTATTTCTTGGAATATGTAAATGAAACTTGGCAGTAGAGCTGGATCCTCCTAAAAATTTTAGTGAATTGCGAGTGCGAACTACTCGCTCCAAGTGAGTTGCGAACTGGCTTGAGACTCGCACCCTGTGACGTCACGTACACCCCC